TCATGCATTGGCGTGTTGGACATGCCGTATTCGAGGGTTCACGTAAGCCCAAAACCCAAGAACCTTCTAAATGATCCCGTTTTTAGGAACACCTAAAGGAACCACCCAGTACCCTGCACTTCCCTTAGAAACAAGGAGACCATAAGCGCGGATGACAAAGACGATGGTCCTTCCAAATAATGGCATAGACCGAGTTTCACGTTTGTTTGGTGGGGGGGGGAAACTGCAAAACCTCAATTGTCGAGCTACTCTCACTCCTACAAGTTTCCTTATATATGTATTCCTACGCCTCAAACCCTAAACCCTAAACTTCAACGCCTAAGCGCTAACCCCACAGACCTGAACCTCAAAAAATTGCTGCCCTAAGCGCCCAAAAGTCGGCACTTAGCAGCAACCTAAACCCAAAGCCCTAAACCCCGAATCCCCTAAACTCCAGGCATGCGCGGGCTCCGGTGGACAATACACCGGTGCTGCTCTGAATCCGGCACCGCACGCGGTTTAGGGTTTAGGCGTTCCCTAAGGCTCCAAGTAGCCCAATGTAGGTCAAATTTATAGACCTTGGGGCCCAATGTAGGTATTATTTATAGACATGGAGCCCTAGGGGTTGAGCTTTTGGGGTTGAGGGGTGTGCGTGCTTAGGGTTTAGGAGTTGGTTGAGAGTTCGGGTTGAGGGGTGTGGGGGCTTAGGGTTTAGGAGTTGGTTGAGATTTTCGGGTTGAGGGGTGCGGGGGCTTAGGGTTAAGGAGTTGAGGTTTTCGGGTTGAGGGGTGCGGGGGTTTAGGGTTTAGGAGTTCAGGTTTTAGGGTTGAGGGTCGCAGGGGTTAAGTAAGGGTTGAGGAGTTGAGGTTTTAGGGTTGAGGCGTGTGTGGGTTTAGGGTTTAAGAGTTGAGGTTTCAGGGTTTAGAGGATAGACCTTTTATCTAGATGCAGAGCTGCCAATGTACCTAGTCGTGCTAGTATCTGAAAAGCCATTTTCCAGGTATGAGGTTGCACTAGGTAGGGCCTGCAGTACCGGCATCAAAGGTCAGCGCTGACGGTCTGAAGCTTACGGAAATTAAAGTGTAAGCATGATACTCGGCGAACCTCCTGACAGGGACTATTTGTGGATCAATGTTGCTTGCAGGTGATTACCAACCTCATGGCTTGCAAATAGTAATAAAGTAGCCAAGACCACAGATTAATAAACCCCCTTCCCTTAATGGGGACTATAATGGAGATCCCAATATTTTGGCCCTTCAAAGGAGGGGGTTTATGGGTCTGCATTAGTGGACCTTTTTGCGGTGTCCACTTCACAGGTTGCCACTATCTTGCCGGTAGCTGTGAGACCTTGTTTTCAAGTCATCAATATTTGCAGACTGGTTGAAGTCTGGTGGTAAAGGGGCAGTTTGGAGGGCCGCCGAGATTGAAGTTTAACCGTGTTGCTTAGGTCATCCTTTGCAAGTGGTTTCTTGCAAATCAGGCGTTCATGGGGACCCGAGATACGACCTACCCAAAAATGAAACCTAAAAGCCTAAGCTCGAACTAAAGTTCAGCGATGGGTTTAGGGTTTGTGATTGACGTCCCAACAGAAGCACTGCCCTACCGGGTAATGCCAATAGTGGGTGTTCGATTTGGGGTTCAGCGTGCTAGATTTATAGCCTGCACCCTAGAGCCCAAAACCCAAACCGTAAACTGTGTGACTCAGAAAGGCACGAGTGCTGGGACCGATGGCTGTGTTCCAATGCGGCAAGGATGTGGCCGGCCTGTACATTGCAGGCCCGTGCTCATACAGATTGGAGTGCATAAGGGTCCCTGGATTCCTAGAAGTTTGCATAGATCCTACAGGCCACTTCGTGGCTGCGATCCTCGCAACCATACACACTAAGCCGTAAACCCCTAAATACTATAAATTCCATAAACTCTATTTACCTTGGAGGCCAATTCGTGGCCGCGATCCTTGCAATGTCGGTCTTCGCCTTCGTCTCGGGCCTGGGCCCTCTGAACCCTTTCATCGCCAAGAAAGCCCTGCAGCTCTCTTGGCCTGAGGCGGGGGTTAGGGTTTTAGGGTTTCAGGGCTTAGGGTGTTAGGGTTTTAGGGTTTAGAGTTTTAGGATCTAGGGTTGTAGGGTTTAGGGTTTTAGGGCTTAAGGTTTTTTTTTTTTTTTAATGGTTTAG